AAAAAATGAAATATTTAAATACTATGAAATTTAGACAATGAATTGTTTGACTAATAAATATATTTTATGGATACAAATCAATTTTAATAATTTGCTCAATATTATTTGAAATTTATTTTTTCACCTAAATAAATATTAGAGATTTAAATTATTTTGAACCTCAACAAATATTATAAGAATAAATAAATATTCTGTATTTTATACTTTGCATTTTAATTCAGTTTTGGGTAATTAAACAATACGATTTGTTAGAAAATGTTGTAAAAAAATTTTTAATAATGCTGGTTGTTAAATAAAATGAACTATCATATTATTTTTTTAAGAATAATTTATATCTATTTAAGCTTAATTTTTTAAATAACTTATAAACGCTAACTAAAATTTGCAACCATTTTTGAGTTTTTATATAGCAATTCTATTATTTCTGAATCTTTGATTCTATTAAAAGAATTTCTTCCACCTCTTGATTGATGAAATAAAATCATAACCACATATACATCAGTAACTAAAAGAGAAACCCTATGTTAATAATTGTTAAAAAACCTTGACTATTTTTTTAAAAATTAAGGTTCAATTATAAAGTTTAAAATTTATTTGACCAAATTCATTAATAAAAAACTCAGGAGTAATGTCAGTAGAAATAATTTGATCAATAGTCATGGAGATAGATGAATTAAAGAAATTTGCTTGAATAAATGATGGAGATACATTATTTGTGCAATTGACAATTGAGAAAACTGGTTGGGAAGTAGTGATGAAGATATTTTTAAATTCGACAAAGCAGATTTAGCTATTAGAGTAATGTTTTTATTAGTTAAATTACTCTTTGTGAATGTTTGCATGGCTTATTCTTATTTGGATGATATTCATAGTTGGGATATAACCATTTATGTTCAAGCTTCTTTTTATTTGCAAGTATTTCAAAATTGAACCTTCATGTCTTTAAATTGTATTCTTTACATTTTAGATGCAACCTTGGAGATATTGGCATTGGACAAGTTTATATATGATTCTTTCAAAAAAGAATTTATGTATATCCTATATAAAATAAAAGTATTTAGAGGATGTAGAACTATTTTTTCGTTTATTTTTTTTTTTGGTTCTTTTTGTTTTTCCAAAATAAGAGACAAATTCAATATTGAAATTGGACTTCATTCAAAAAATATAAATATGTAATATTGGTTTATAAAATGCTCACTTATTATCATAAATCATAAGAATAAAGCTTGAATGTTAAAAAGAGAACAATAAATTGACATCTATTAAATAAGAAAAATGTATATTAAAAATTAAATTGCAAAACAGATTTTCTAAGGATTTGTTAGAATACTAATTATAATTCTAATTATAATTATATCTTGATTAGTAAACAAGACACTTGATATATTCTAAGAGAGTTATATTATAAATATAGTAATATTATTTGGATTTAGATTTATTTTATACATCTTGGTAGATTTTTGAAATTTACTATTAAAAATTCTAATAATATTTTTTTAATTAACTTTTAATCTACTAGTCCATTTTTGATAAATTATTTACCAAAATGTTCATCTCGATAAGATGATTCTAATAGACCCAAAATTGTCAAAATTTAACTACAGAATCTCAATATCATTAATGATTTGTTTCACTTTAGGTGTTTTAGGATTGGTTTAACCAATCCTAATACCCAAAGTGATGCAAATCTCTATCGACTCATGATTCTGTAATTGGATTTTTGATGATTTTGGATCCATTAGAATCATCTCATCAAGATGAATATTTTGGTAATTATTTCATCAAAAATAGACCGTAGATCAAAAGTTATTTATGATTAAATATTATTGAAATTTTTAATAATAAATTCTAACAATCTGCCAATATGATTTAATATCTAGTTATTTGTAATGCATGTAGATATTACAAATATTTATTATAGATTTAATTTTTTATTAATATTTTATTAATTTAAACAAGTTGGCCAAATTCAATAAATATTTATACAAAATTTATTAACATGGCTAAGTTAATAAAGGCAAAAGCAAAAAGATCTGTTTCAAGCTTTAGATTTAATAAATCTTTTACTATAATAAATACTAATGAACAACTCATTGTAACCCATTGTAATAGGAAATATTCAATAGTTAGCATGTGAGACAGCATTAACAAATATTATTTTGGGTTTGACTCGAAGTAAAATATAGATATTGAATATGTAATCTAAATGAAGCTCATAGCATATAAATAAGTATTATTAGTTATAGATGTTAATAGTAAATCCTGGTTCTCAAACTAAATCTTTTTGCTTTTTTCGAGTAGGCTTTACTGTACTTTATGTTTTTAGTGTATTTTGGTTGTAAAGTAGTGATGATTTAAAACTGCCTGTCAAATGTGTCA